TAACTGTGGCATGATTGTTTAGTGACTCAGAGAAGGGTAGCGAACAGGAGGCTGAAATTTTTGTTACAGGAAGGGGACAAAGTGTCAGTAACCAAAGATTCACAGTGTATGAGGTAATCCTGTGGCGAGCATATTTTCACTCATTTCCTGGCAGTGGAGGAACCAGTGTGCTCCAGAGGGAAGGTGTTCTTTTGTGCCATGTAACAGAGCTCACCTCACAGCCGATCCCCTGGGGCTCCGCTACCTCTACACACACACACACACACACACACACACACACACACACACACACACACACACACACACACACACACACACACACAGCTCCCTGAGTCACAGGGTGGAACCCTCACACACATAAAGGGCGCTTTGTGCCCCAACTCATGGAGCTGACAACCAACACCAGAGAGCTCCTCACACTGAACACCACTGTTCAGCTAACAGGAGAGCTCAGTAAGTGGGCAGACAGCGCTTTCATGTACACCCACACAAAATGTAGCTTCATCTCTAACTGTCTGTCTATCAGCTGCACTGACTGTAATTGAAATTTGAGATTAAAAGGGTGATAGGAGTGTGCATGTTTTGAATTTTCTTCAAGTTTAAGTTTTATCTGCCTGCAGGTGCTGGAACTGTTAAAATCCCCTTTCCTTATTTACCCTTTTGAAAGTTATACAGTCATATCTAACTACCCATGAGCCTGTCTCTCATCCAGTGTTTCCCATAACGGAAAGTAGGCGCTGACTTCATTTCTTACCCTCTTGGGGATTGAGCCAGGCAGCAGTAATTTAGGAAGCCAGCAATAAAACTTCCACTGATACCCACCCACTCACCTGCAGGATCTGATGACAGCAGCACTTCCCCTCGCATGTCCCTGTATTTTCCATCTTTGCAAACAACCTCAGGCAGAGGCGTCATTAATTAAATCCTCTGAAAATAAAAAATCATGTATCAGTAGCAGTCACAGGCCTATAATAATCATATCGGGACCAAATTAAATAAAGCTGCTATAACCAATATTTTCATAGTAACAGTAGTTCAAATAACTAATGTAGACCATTGTAACTCACAGAGAGTTGCAGCCCGGATTTTTGGAGCCAGCATCTAGCTGGTGTCACTGGTATTGTACCTTTAAGTACATATGCATTGGCTTCACCCACTTGCTATGGTAGTTGCTACCTGAATTACATCTTGTTGCGCTGCCCCCAAGTGGCCAAAAAATTAATGAATGCCGTTTTAAAGATGTGATTACTCTGTCCACACACTACATGCACACAGTACATGCAAAACCAAAGGTCATAATAAGAAAAGTTTGGAGCTTGCAGGGCAGCTGTAGAATCCTACAGACAGCTCGTTGTTGGTTCAAACCCCAACACCAGCTTTAAAATGTTGGGATGGGTTAAAAATAATAAATGCAATTCTTTACCATGCCCAGTAACCAAGACACACTTTCATTAAACAATCTCCATCTGCCTTTGTGTATTCTGTTGAGATTGTTTCTTTTCTTGCTGTAATTTGTTCATTTCAAGTCAAAATTGCTTTGCAAAGCATTTTCAGCTTCCTTGTGTTTTAATGTCTGCCTCCTCAGTGAGGGTGAGACATAATGTGATCTTAATTAACTTGCTTGATTACATAACAACCAGGCGTATCTATAAGAGATGACAAATAATTGGTCTCAATTATTTATAGTACAGATAACTTGATGAAGCAAAACACACTTAAGATATTCTCTATCAACCCTAAACATGATGCAATGGGGTCTTTAAGGAATATGATCTATTCAGTTTAAGGGTTTTGAGGTGTCACATGTTCATATTTGACATCCTGTAATCAACCTACTTTATGCTCCAATTAGCCCAAATGTTGTACAATACAGCACCACAGGGGTGCAGTCTCCTCATTCATCTCAACAGCCCATCAGCTTTACTCAAGTTGTAAAACCTAAAGAACAGTTTAAAGCTCATCATCTAATGAAACAGGACCAGGAGACAACTTCAATACTGTGAATTAAGTTACAGTCTCAAAAATCTGAAGGTATTGCTAAAAATATTCCCTCATACTGACCATTTCTGCATCTCAACCTCAGAGGTTTTGACAGGATGAGTCCAAGTGCCAAGTTGTTTATCATGTAAATTAAGGATAAATATTGTTAATTATTTGCTTTTAAATGAAAAGTAACTTAATACTTTTCATGGCGGCCTGTGTTCTATTTTTGTAACTAAAAAGCTTAACAAATGAAATGGACATCCCCACAGTATCAGTCTATCTTGCCTGCTGTGTGGTATTTCCAGGAATGTTTATGTGTTGGAGCAGTTTACTAAAAGGGTCAGTGCCAGGGGACCTGATTCGCTGACTCAGTTCCACTGGCCGCTCTGTATCTTCTCATGCTATCATGTTTAAATTCATGTTTGTCAGCTGGTGCTATTTTGTCTCTTTTCCTTTATACTTTTGAAACTTTTTTTGGATAAAGGGTTTCAGATGGTCATATCTTTTCCAGGCTTCAGATAATCTGACCATCAGATAGCCGGGCTGCGTCCCTGGAGGGAGAGTCCATCACATGATATGCTACAAGGTTTCGTGCCTGGATGTAATTATACAGCAATATTTTGCTAACTTTAGAAAATACTGACCCTAAGCACACATTTAATGTAGCTAATGAAGAGTTGTGGGAGTTTTTGTTGTTTCCACTGGGAGTCTGAGGTTGTAATTGTAGTTTTGAAATAATGGTTTTGTTTATTGTTTCATAATGTGGGTGTTATGGAGCCCTTTGAGACTGTTGGCTGTCACTAACTGCTATATAAATAAACTTGACTAATGCTAGCGTAAACTACAATTTGTATAACAGCAACATTAAAGGTAAACAGTAGTAAAGGAGGACAGAAAAGAGCCAACCATAATACCCCTGCATATTAGGAAGATATATCAGAAGAAGACATTAAGAGATACAGAGAAATATACGAGTGCAATTAGAGGGAATAAAGGAGATTAGACTGCTCAAGTTGATTTTTTTTTCATCTTTAACAGAAAGTTAAAGTTCCAGCCAGGCAATAGGAAAACCACTTACATACCATGTTCATGGTCCATGGTCAACTCCAAACCATTCTTGGCTCCTGTCCATACCTCTAAACTTTAACTGTATTTAATGATTGCTTTGGCTCCATTTCAGTGTGCAGAACTCTTAACTTGTGGTTCGTATAGTTTCCAAAAGTAGAACGGGGGCCAGAGGCTTCAACGACCAGGCTGGTCTCCAGTGGAACCAGCTCCCAGTTTGTGTTCTTATACCTTCTCCACATTTAAGAGTAGGCTAAAAGTCCTCTTTTATAAAGCTTATAGTTAGGGCTGGCTCAGGTGAGTCCTGAACCGTCCCTTAGTAATGCTGCTATAGGCCCCGGCTGCCGGACGACTTCCCATGATGCACTGAGCTCCTCTCTCTTCCTCTCCCTCTCTACTTGCACACATTCATGTCCCATTAATGCATGTTAGTAACTTAGCGTCTTCCCTGGAGTTTTTGTGCTTTCTCGTCTCGCAGGTTCCCATAGATGTGGATTCTGCCATCATCATCATCATCATCATCATCGGCCATATTTATACCATTATTGTTATTATTGCATCTCTCTATCTCTCTCTCAGCAGCAGCAGCATAACTCCTAAGTACTCCACCAGTACTGCTGTTCCTTTCAAAACATTAGTGAAAAAAAGCAATTATCTTTTGATTACTGTTCAACACTGCATTGTATGAGTGTCATTACAGTGGTATAAATTGTGTTCAATGAATGCTTTCCAGCATTACAGTATTATTGTATTTTAGAGGGTTACTGTAAAATTGTGTCTTAAATTGTGGTTGATACAGAAAAGAAATAACGAACTGATGCAGTGAAGCAGGCTACAATGGTAATCATCATTTTGCCTTTTATGAATATATGATTTGACTCTACACTTCAGTCTCTATAGTTATATTATAGATATTGAAGTGTGTAATGTACTGTATTCAATACATAAGATGTAGTACTCAAATGCTATTCTTAGTCTTTATCTTTTCACACAGACTGCAACATAAATTTTACTTTTTCCTGATTGCTACTTGTACACTTCTGAGGAAATGACCCCTGCCTACTCTGTTTAGCTGAGAATCAGCCTAGCTACTGTTTGACAGCATTATTTGATAATTACAATTTTATTAAACAAATACACTAATATCTGTCTTGATGAGAGTGAACTGAGACCTTTCGTATCTGTATGCTACAGGAAATACGGATCTGTCCAGAAGAAACTAAATCAGGATTGACACTATGACTCACTAATTAACAAACTGTATCTTGTTTGTTCATTTAAACATCATAAAAACAGCAATCTGAAGTTTGGGTTAAACTAATTGGCTGCTAGCTGTGTATTTAGCGTATGCACAGACATAAGAGTAAAATAATAATAAGGATTTTGCTTAGTGTAATAGAGCCTACCACTTACAGCAACCGTAGGGAAAACATGTGCAACAACTACAACTACTGTAAAGCTGTGAGATGATGTCTATGAAACACAAAGCTGGAACTGTACTGCAGCCTGTTCCCAAAGACTGTTTCTACATTGTGTCTTTCAATTCCTAAATCTGACAGGAAACATCATTTAAATAACTAATCTCCATGTGTAACATTAAGGACTCATTTCCTTCAGTATATATAATCTATAATGTGTCACTGATACAAACATGTCTGTAATTAAAGCAAAAATCTGACAATTTTAGTAAAACAAGTAGCATTATTCTATATATTGTCAGAAATGTGTGTTCTAGAGTGCTTTCATTTAATGTTCAGTGCCAAAGACTTCCAAATTAAAACCAATCATAAAGGGTGTATGCAAAACAAATTCTTTACAACAAAACTGTTTCAGTTTCATGGCAGCAGTATTTTGTAAGTGGATGTCATTTTGTGGTGGCAGATTTCATGCTGTATTAAAAAATAACCAAAAAAAAACCCTGCAGATGGCAAAATCAAACTGAACAAACAAACTTTTTTGCAGTTAGCTACAAAACCACTTTATTGAAAAAGCAGATTATGTCATCTACAGTTAAATGATACGTCCCGATTTTTAATACATTAAATAACTTTAGACTTTTTTCATGTTTAGATAAATAGATCTAGTTTCCTTTTTTTATGAACCATCTAGGTAATCAAAACACTTAGCGATACAAAAGATGTGTGACAGGTGTCGAGATGTGCTTGTTGGAACTACCAGTAGGAGAAGAAGAAGTCCTCTCTTTCCAAGTGATTTTTGACAAAAAAATAAAATAAAAAACTAGCCTCTTTATGTACAGGGTAACTAGCTGTGTGCTATGCAATAGAAACTGAAGTAGTACTTTTAAAACAGGTGAATTAAGACATCTTTAAAAGGGGATACACTCTGATGTTGTTAAGTTTTTCTTGGGGGTTGATATTGTGCAGAGTAAACAAAAAAAAACCTCATTCTTCAAGTATGGCACACATTACTTGACTAGGACCCCTGTACAAAGCTGAGGTTAATCAAATGACAAGGGGGGAATGTCTCACATATGCAGTCCTTTTTCTTTTCTGCTTTTACAAATATAGAAACACTAATCATTATTACATTCGAATGAATCTCATCACATCAGGTTACATAAGAAAGCACCTTCTGCCTGTGGTGACCCCTGCCTTCAGTCCGTTTTTGACACATTCAGTAGTATTTATTGAGACCTGCGTGTACAGTAATACAGTATGAATAAGAGCTGGGCCAGTGTTTGCATAAAATACTTGGTGATTGTTTTATTCTTGTTCTAATACCAGATGGGTGGAGTTTGCCACAGTCAGAGAATGATATACCAGCTACTGGAACGTGTGTAAACCTTACCAACATAGTACTAGACAGACGTTCAAACATACACACCAAGAATTAGACAAAAACTTCTGGAAAGAAGGTGATGAACGAACGCAGTCATCAAAATCATCACTGGGTTTCAACAGAGAGAGCAGGGGTCAATGTGCTGGCTGCCCTGCAAACACGGTGAGGTGCTTGTGCCATGGCCCTGCCACTAGCACAAGCCCACACACACACACACACACACACACACACACACACACACACACACACACACACACACACACACACACACACACACACACACACACACACACACACACACACACACACACACACACAATTAGCTCATATTTGAAATAAGCACACATAGTTGGGGTTTAATGCATAAATGTGCAGCAGCTCAGATTTTTGCTTGGTGCAAGAGTGAGCTGAGTTTTCCTCAAAAACAGAAGTTGCCTAAAATATCTTATAGGGGAAGGACCTATTGAGTGCCAATCTGAAAGAAACTCATCAGTGACCGTAACTAAGTGGGAAGGGGTGAGACTATTTTTCCAGCACCCCCATAGCTCAGAGTTTTATGCAGTTTATGTTTGGTACACACACACACACACACACACACACACACACACACACACACACACACACACACACACACACACACACACACACACACACACACACACACACACACACACACACACACACACACACACACACACACACACACACACACACACACACACACACACACGCAGGACCCACTGCAATACATACATGCAAGTGCCTGCCCACACACACACATACATACATACACACATACATACACACATACACACACACATACATACATACATACACAGACGCACACAACCAGCAAGGGAAATGTGGGGAGGGGGACTCCCCTAAAAACGCGGGGGGGACCAGCAGCTCCGGGTTCTCAGGGACGTCCTCCCAAAACACAACAGCAGACTGTGGGACACAGAAACATACCTGTTCTGTCTTAAGGCATGTGGACAAGTGGAGGTTCCTCATAGTAACGCACTGGGTTCTCAGTGCTCATATGACAAAAAAAACAGTGTCTGGGAAAACATACCAGGAAACAGTGTCCTGAACAGACCTGGTGCAAAAGGTATCACTCAAATTGTTTTGATTCCTTCTTTGAGTACCAGACGGGCCAGATGCCACATTTACAGTGTCAGTGACAGAAAACTTTTGGTAGTATAAATAAAGAATAGATATACGTTCATTAATGATTTTTAGTCCTGATTTTGATCTCTGTTGAGGCTCCTGGTGCACACAACTAGCACTCTATATCATTTGTTACATAATGACGTTTGGACAAATCTTTTCCAATCAGAGTTCTTTCGTTTTTGTTTTTTTTACCAACAGAGCTCAATAATACTTCTAATCTTTACAGTTCGCTTTATTTGATTTCTATGATGACTGCTGAGTGTCTTTTAGTGTTCTACCAAGGGGCCTAAATCTTAGCATTTAAATACCAATTTCTAGCTAAGCTCTCAGCTTTGAAGATTAAGTTTAAATCCTAATCTTACAGCTCTGTGTTAACTTGGTAAAAATAGGAGCAACCTGGAGCGAAGGTCAGAAAAAGTGTCAGTGCTAAGGGACATGCATACATTGTTATGTTTTGTAGGACCTGGGTTACAAAGAACTTCATTGAATGAATGAATGAATGAATGAATGAATGTACTGGAGAGGTTGACCAGCTCAGCTAAATAGTAACTCGTAACTTTAGTAACGAACTGCCTCAGGCGGTGAAATTTAAGGGTCTTCAGAAATGTCTGACTTGTAGAGTGTGTTACAGCTGTCTACATGCAGTCTAAAAGGAACACATTTGTTGCCAAAAACTTGATTTAGACATGAAAAATTTGGTACTCAGAGTGGAATAAAACTGAAGGCAATTTCTATTTGAGCCAGGTCTGCTCCTACATAGCCTGTGGATCTGGGACCCACTGACAGACATGAAGAGGCTCTGTGTCCTCAAACAGAAATGATACAACAGACCCAAACTCTTCAGAAGCTTCAGACTGCGTGACAGACAGCGTGTTTCACCTCTGAATCTATCGCGAGCGCAGCAACAGAAAAACAAAATCTACATCTATGTTCTTATGTGGAAAACATCTGCAAAATATATATTCATATATAAAAGACAATCTATGTGCATCTAAAATTTTCTTTTTCTGTCATAATATAATCATTAATTAAGACACTGCTTGTGAATCTCTCGAGGTCTCTTCTAAGACTTCTAAGTGGAATGTCAGTCGGTTCTCTGGGCTTGTGGTGCTACGGTGCATCTGTTATTTCGGGGCGGTGCAGGGTCAGGAGCGATGAGTTCATAGTTTTTCCTCACAGCCCTGTGTCGTGATGCTGGGTGTCCTTTGCATAGCCTTTAGCAGGACTCCATTTTAGTGTTAGAAGCTGCACGGAGAGAGCCCGCTCTGAAGGCACAGCACGCCCACCCTGGGGTCTGTCCGGTCCAGCCAGCACCGGAATGTAGTGGCTCGTTCCCTGGCCTCCCCGACACCGTCATCGGCAGCACTCTGTAGACGTGACAGCACCGGTGAATCCGCTGCGGTAAACCGCTTCAGTCAGCGCACAAGAATGAAAAACATGGAAAGGAAGGGCGGGAAGCAAGGAGAGAGACGAGTTTGCGCGCTCCAATCTAGAAGCTCTCTCTTTGATGAATGTGCAGGGGTCAGGAGGTGTGACGTCACTGGGGGCCTCTGGGTGAGCCAGCGTGTTGCCTTTCAGGGTTTAGGCACCCCAGGGGAAGGATGGGGGAGGGGGGGAGAAAGGGACCACGGATGGAGGAGGAGGGGGACCCTTTTTCCCAGCCCTGTCATGTGACAGCAGGGCTTGTGGTGGGAGCTGCACTGTGTGTGTTGGTCCACAGCCCGGCCGTCCAGTTGAGGACAGAGGCAGTTGCTCAAGGGCTTCCCTGGAACTGCTGGAGGGGGCGCGGGCCTTTTTTTTTTTTTTTTTTTCCTGCTGCTGGTGTCTCAGGTCACCCGGGAGGCGGAGCTTGGTTGCTGTCCACCCTACTCCCACCTCACAGCTCTGTGACATGGAGGGGGTAGCTGGGGGGCAGGTGGGCAGGGACCTGCAACTGGAGCCGGTGGATGTGGCAGCTGTGGCAGAGCAGGTGGCCTTCCAGTGGATAACAGCGGTGGCCCTCTTCGTCGTTTAGCTGGAGACCACAGTCCTGAAAGAGTGGCATAAAGACAGAAGCATGAACATATCACGAAGGCGATCAATAACTAAACCCTGATGTGCTTTGTTAATACAAAACGTCTGACATCACTCTCTTATATCTATCATATACATACAGTGACCGGCCCTTAACTACTCTGCTGCTATGGTCAGACCTGGATAGCAGCTGAAAATTTATGTATGATAAATTAATTTGCACTGATTGTTTATTCTACTTAGTATTGTTGCATCTCGTAGAAACATTTTCAATTAAAAAAAAACAAAAACCTTGAAGGTACCTCATGTGTTACAGAATCTGATTCCCCTCCCAATATGTAATGAATTTACCATTAGCAGGATGATTCAGCTCTGGACTTTACCCTTCCTCTGTCCATAAGCCCCCCACCGCCCCCCACAACTTGGCTGAATGATTACCCACTGCTTACATAATGATCTGGTCCATTTCTATGAAGTGGAATGTCAGCCATTCAGAGAAATCTGTCCTGTTCATGAGGACAGTAGAAATGATCTGGTCTCTCAATTCAGTATTTACAATGCAGAAAAACATATGCAGAATGACTGCAGGGTGGCATGAAATGTTAATGTTAAGACTTGCACTGCAAACCATCTGACGGAGGTGAGTGGCAGGATGACTGCGATTTCACAAGTCTGGTTTAGGCAACAAGTCCCCAGCTGAGTTCAGAGCTCAACGCTGGAATGCGCTTTGTCAATGAGTCACAGTGTTGAGCTGTAACCTTGGGTTGGTATCCGTCTGAGTGTTTTTTCTCTGTGTCTGTGTCTGTGTGTGTGTGTGTGTGTGTGTCTCATTCATGCCACAACAGACTGCAGCAGCGATTCACACCCACCGCTACTAAACAGTCTTAGTCCCATCCCACGATTTGCAGTACCCACTTTCAATAGTGGATAAATGTGTCTGTGCATGATCGGCTCAACAGTGTGTGTGTGTGTGTGTGTGTGTGTGTTTCATAAGAGCCTAAGAAGTTGAATCATACACAGAGATGAATTGCCTCTAGTCAAATCACATGCATGGTAGACTGCTCTTACTCATACTCTTTATGTGTGACTCTGTGTGTGTGTTTGTGAGGACAGAGTGCAGGCCTCACCTCACAGTGGTAACACTCCACATGGTAGTCCTTGTCCATGGAAACTACCCGGATAGTTTCCTCAGAGCCCTGGTGGGACAAACACACAGTAAGACCTTCTCATCACATCAGTCTAGTGTCTCATTAAAGTGATGGTCCAATAAGCAGCAGGTCTCAGGTCTGATCCCTGCAGCTGCCACGTGTCCTGAGACAACACACTGCTCCTCTCTCTCTGTGTATAGAAAGGTGCACCAGTGCTGGTCTAAATATACATTACGTTTATGGCAAACTCAAGTTTGGGATTTTCATTTGTTGTTTTACTTTGTGGCTTTTCCAGTTTTATCAGAGAAATGCTTACTTTCAGCCTGCTTCGTTTTGGCAGGAGCAATAGACAAGATCAATTTAGCTCAGTTTGGGTTTTTGTCTTCATTTTAATTCCTGATTTTGTCTTTTGTAAGTTTTATCTTGTGATAACCTCGCTGCTACTGTGATTATTTTGATACAGTGTGACTAATAAAATATTTTAGTACTTTGTTTGCTTCATGTCATATTAACAGAAACCAACATAATCTAAGACCAGAGGCACATTTGTCTCATGTTAAAAGGCAACATTTTGAAATGCTTTATATTCATTTTTCGATCATCATCATCTGATGCTTATCTTTCCACGGAATCCGCCAAGTTGAATTGCCATGTTTTTACAGAACGGACAAACTGGCTCTAGATAGGGCCGTTTACGTTTTTTGCACGGTTCGCGGTCACCATAGTAACTCCTTTGTGCTTGGAAAGGAGGGTGAAGAGAGAGTGTCAATTTGCAACTACACCGTTTTGGACCATTTACTGGACTAGAGTGGATTTTTAGTAAAGAATATTTCTTGGAGATGATCAACTTCACAGATGTGTAAGATATGTTAGGACTGATTCATATATGCTCCTTACCTGGGCTGGAAGGATGGGCTGGTTGCAAGAGGCACACTTTGGAGCAAAAACCCTGAGAGAGAAATATTAAATCAGACTTCTTATTCTACACCAGATTTTCACAAATAGATATCAGGACAATACAGTTTCAAATAAATAGCAACAGCAGCAGGAGTAGAGCGAGAACCAAACATTTTGCAACAAACTGCTATTTCCATGTTCCAAATGTTCCTTTTTGTGCTGAACAGCTTGTTAGGCCACATTCTGTCATGCAGTAATCACATTTTATCAGTGTGCAGAGCAGAGACATGTCTTCCTTACGTGTGGTAGTCTTTGACACAGTAGATGTTGTTCCCAACGTCCACAGTGAAAGGCACTCCATCTAGACCCTCTTTACACACCACGCAGCGGAAACAGCCAGGATGGTATGACTTGCCTAGCGCCTGGAGGATCTAAACGCCCCACACACACACACACACACACACAGAAGAAAAACACACAAGATAACAGTGAGACTTGGCAGTGAGGCCACTGAGGTCATGTAGTGACATACAATGGGTTGCCATCGGAGAGGCTGAGATTAAAAACATAAACTCAGTGAGGGGTGAGACGCTGAAATTTTACGCTTTTAATATAGCATTTTGGGATTTTATGTCTGCACTATCCAATAGTAACTTTGCTTGACTTGTCCTAAGTATACATTCTATCCTATATAGCATACATGCATTCACCCTTTGCTTTACATTATTATTATTTGCTATTGCTCTTACCATCTCCATGATGAGGTGCCCACACACGAAGCACTTCTCAGCTGTCTGCTGGAAACCAGAGTACTGTGGGTAGGACAAGACACAGGATGTATTATCCTCGGAAGGGAATTCTGTGATGGCAATACAATTAGTGGAACATGTACTGCTTCACACCTGATGCATGAACTTGCTTCAGTCCTCGACTCATCTACAGAGGGTGCTGCTGCACTCTTTAAATTAACATGTAAAGGCTTTCTCTCACAATCCTTTGTCTCTTGGCTGACATGTTCGTCAGGCTGCAGCGACCTGTGGTGCCGAACCTATGCATTCTTAAATCTTGATTTCTCTGAGGAAAGGTGCTGCTGTTTTTCTGCATGGCCCTCCATCATATTCATACAGTTAAATTCAGTTGGGAATTACAGTGTGTTTGTTGGCCGGTGAGTATCTCCACTGGACCTACTGGGTGTGACTTGCTTTCTGTGTGTTACAGGAAACTAAACACCCAGCGCCACATCAATAGCTCCTTTCCCTCAAACCCCAAGTGCAAGCAGATAATGAAGGTGACCATCTGCAGCTCACAACCCCCTCAAGGTCGTGACCTGATGACTGGGGGGTGGGCTACCAGGTAGAGGTGGGAGGTGGTGATGGGCAGGCTGCCCCCTGCCCTGACATCTCAACTGCAGATCTACCATCTGCCACCACCCCACCGTTCCCGAGACCCCCCCAGGGTGACAAGCCGGACTAGTCAAGTATTGGCAGTATGAGGGAGGCGGAAGAAGATTAGTCTCATCCCGTCATCTGACCTCAAGCATCAGTTTATCACTGAGAGGCAGTGATTGTTAAGTGCAAAACAGGAATTTCTCTAAGGGGAAGCTGCCGATAAACAGGAAGTCTGGAAAGCAGATGAGGCCACGTGTTGTGAGTTTGTTCGGAATATAAAGCTGTTTTCAACATTTATGTACAGATTTTGTCAGATTCTTTCAGCATGTTTGGAAACAATTTAGTCACATTCAGTTAATAACAGCATCACCAACAGCTACAGTACATAACACATAATGATTCAAAACTGTCACTCTTTCATCTGAGTTTGTCTAAATTAAACTTCTCATTACAATAATTCTGACAGAACACAAAGGCATCATGAGAGTAGGCACTGGATTTGGCCTGTTAACCTGAAGCAGATGGACCAGGAGTTACAGCTGTCCACCTCCCACTCTTAATTGTAAGTGCCCGGAGCCGCTTGGGGGGTAATTGAGCTCCTTGGGGAAACTCGGGGGAAATTAGTGTGAATTGGAGGGGTGGTGCTAAAGTCCTAATTGTAGCTGCGATGTCCGTTTCCTCTGGAGGGTTGCAGAATGTAGCCAGAGATCCTAATCCCTCACTCTGCTCCACCCGCTCCTCTCTCAACACGCCACGAAGCAATGATAGAGTGCTACCAGCGGTTCTGCTCACCACAGAGTAAAATCAATACTCATGAACACACAGGTGACTTACCAGGAAATCCTCCTCACAATAGACCTTCCCGTTGACGTTGTAGAACGCTTTCCCTCGCAGCCTCCGCCCTAAAAGAAAGACAACAAATTGAATCTACATATTCAAGTATGGAAGGGTTTGCTGCAGATAGACAACATAGCCAAAAGTACTTTTGGTTTGGATTTGTTTTTCATAGTTTGGGCAAGGCTTCTTTATTCCAATAAAGGTAAATGTACAGCATACAATAACATATCAGACAAGCTTCCAACTTGGTAGCAATAGTTTGAAACAACACTATTCCCTATTCCAACATGACAACGTTATGATGGAATAGCAGAGTTCATAGAGAAATCATTTTCTCAGTTTGGTACAGAGGAACCCCATCGCCTTTGAGCTAAACTGGAAGGTTGAATCAGAGCTGTAGAGTCCAAAATAGAGATAAGTATCATAGCTTCAACAGTTCCACAAAATGTGACTCCTAATTCTTATTTTTTTCTGTCCTTGACACGCTAGTCAAAAACAGTGTAATAGATTATGTCAGACACAGCACACAGAATAAAATCTCTTTATAACAATTTCTGTCAACGTCTGACACTCAAAATCAAAATACATCTTACTGTATGCCTCTTCCTTAATCTCTCTACTTTACAACCACAACAGCAGGTCAGTGTGGAGCAGATGGTTGGCTGAACGTAGGCGACATCCTGCCTGTGCCTCCGTTTAATTACATCGGCCATTGATCCCAACAGGATTCCATTCACAACCCGTACACAATCAATACAGCAGGCTGCTTCCCCCCCCCAAATCTCTTATTCCCCATCCCTGCCATTGTGCACCGTCCACAGGCAGACCAACAATAGCAGGATGTCCCAAACCTCAACACATGCATAAACACCAGTGCTAAAACAATCAATCCATTAGTGTATTGAAAGGTTGATTACCCATTAACATCTATGGTCATTCATCATGATATAAGATCCAACCATTACTGCTAATATTGGCTTTATCATCATCATCATCATCATCAAATAAAAACTTTCCTCGGATAATGGTTTGCACATTTCAGACATTACTTTGGTGGTCTTGGACATTATTTTTGACATTTTGAAAAGACTATAAGACATGAAAACAATCAATGGTTGCACTTCTGCACCTTGCAAACACATCCACAGGAACATGCCCACACCACATCGGGCCCAGGTTCAGCATACTGAGCTTTCAGCTCCGAGTGTGAAGGCTGAATTCCTCTGGGTGAGCCTTCATTCATCAGAATCCAAGTCTGAATCCAATTTATAAAGAAATTCTGCTGCGGGCTGGCTTCTGCAACCCCCTGCCATGCACCCCTTACAGCTCATCCATTCAAATTCATTTAACAGCAGCAGTGTCTCTCTGGCAGCACGATGACTTCACCCGAGCCTGGCAGATGAAGCACACGGATCTCATAAATCTGCTGGATTAGTCAGATTTAATTGTCGTCCCGAGCCACCATTGATTTTATGGGTGTCCCAGCATGGGAAATCTGCCCCCCCCTCTTTTTAACACTGAAATTTATGCAACCGCTGTATTTCACACACAAACACAGTGTCACAATGCTGGGAGATGGCAATACATTAACACCCACATAAATGGCTGGAGCAGCCGAGGAATGCTGTCCACACAATAGGTGAGACTTTTAAGACTTTGAGACTAAGGAGCAATTAGCATTTTGGTAGCGTGGAGCAAAGAGAAAAAAGCCGGATCGAAGAAGAACGCCATGTGAAGCAACTCTTAAGAGACACTGTCTTCAAAACCGAGACTTTGGAGAGGCTCAACTCGCAGGAACAGTGAGATTATAGTGAACAGTGCAGCAGCAGGGGCTGTGAGGTGTTGCTGTGTGCTCGTCTGTGGCCTCTGCTCTGGAGTTTGGGGTCTGGAAGGTGAACACAAAGGCCCCAGTGCTGATGACTGTGTGGAGCGCTGCTAGGGGAGCGAGCCGACTGAGCAAACGGGGACATTCTTTCTGCCTGAGGTCACTAGCTGGTCCCATTCAACCCCCCACACCTCTCCAACACCCGCTCTCTGCCCGTTTCCCTCACCGAGAAAGGGAGGGGGAGGGCTGCATGCCTGCCTCTCTCTCCTCTGGCCTTTTGTCACCAGACAGAGAGCCCGAACCTCCTCACAGCGCTATAAGTGATAGAACCAGAGGCTCCGTTTACAAGTTTCTATCTATGTGCAGGTTTTAGAAAGCCAGATTTAAGAGCTCATTAACCCTAAATGGAATTGGATGCATTACAAACTTAACTGCACAAAGCAAGATCCAAATGTAAACCTAATGAACATAAGGTTTGTGCCTCCTATCACTCTCAACACAGACCTACATTTTGAATCATAACTGGTTTAAAATATAGGTCATATGGCCAAAAACTGAATGATTGGGTCTAAAGAAGCTGGAAGAGCATACAATATAAAAAAATGCAACTAACCATATAAGTGGTAACTCAACCACAAAATGATTTACAGTGACATGACGACTCATCTTGCTCTAGTTGCTTGTTCTACGGTCACAGTGTTACTGCTGAGGCTTTAAGGCCCCGACCTCTGCACTCCTTAATGCTGGTGGCTTGTAATTTCCGTCATTTAGGAATTAGAGCTTATTCTGCTAATGCACTCATTTTGAATGATGGTGTTGCCATGGGAATGAGTGTTGGGCTGGTGTAAGAGTACCGATGTGCCACCAAGGCAAAGGTTTTATTCGGCTAAATTTCCCTCTGGTCTAGCAGTTGTGCCGAGAGCTTGTTTCCACCTAAGAAACTGGAACGTACCCGTTTCCACAAATCAACAGCAACAGTTACTGGTAGCTCTGTGAGGCTGTATGGAGATATTTCAGGTGGATCATGTGGGATACGTGGTCTTTTCTATGGTTACTTAAATAAAATCATAGGTAGCTTTTCAGCTCTAGCCATAACCCTTTCAAAGAGCAGTTAACACCCCAGAGTGAGTCCTTTATTGTTGCTGAAGGAGCATTTTCACCCTTGTTTTCTGGTCTCAAGTTTTATTCTTTTATCCTTTTAGGCCTAGATCAGACTCTCTTGTTGTATCTACTGGTACGATACAGCTGTAATGATGATCTCATGTACTTGTACTCACTGAAAACTTGCTTTCCCTGACCAAAGAGTTGCTGCAGCAATCATGTTCTCTCAATCAAATGTGTTAGCCTCCATATAAATGGTTAAGTGTTATTAGTAGTGGATAAGATTTTTATATGCAGCCTGAGATGAGGTCTACATGTGCCACTTTAGCCGAAGAGTGCAAGTTTCAACTCTGTTTAACTTTGATAGACAATGTAATGAAGCATATTATGTTTGAAAATGGAGCAGTCATTATTCTGATGTTGTGCTTTAATTGCTTTCTCTGTGTTTCAACCTACATTGAACCCGTAACATCATATCCTTCTTGTATGCCAAGTGCAGGACAGTTTTGTTGGACTAAACATTAACTGAGCACCCACACAGGTGTTTCAGGTTGAAGTTACAGAGATATGTTGGAATTACATAAGGTCACCCAACTGTTGAACCAATAAGAACTATGGCTGCCACTTCTTATTCAAAATTCCAAACTTTTGTTTGAATGCAGGGAAAACATTAAATATTCGATTGTAGTCAAAGCGGTGTGTGGAAATATTTTGGATTCTACACTACACTACAATAAATATAAGTCTGTTTGTGGACTTTGTAAAAAGCGGTTGCCTTTCTCTTAAAGGACAACAAATGTGAGGGCTTACCTGCTAGCTAGTCACCCGAGTGAGGCAGCGGAGGCACTAGAAACGTCTTCATACTGCCTACTGTTGCCACACTCATCAAAACCAATAGGATAGCAAGAGCTATATGCAGGGATATGCTGCCCATTGGGGCTGGTTCAGGAGAAGGTTTTTAGGATAGAGAACTGAAGCAACAATATTAAATTCCAAATTGCACCACAAAGACACAAAGTGCAGTTGTATGGCAAAACGCAGTACGTGTTAGTTCAAAATCAACATTCATTACTTTTTTTTTCTTTTTTAAATGAGGGGTATGACATGCAACCAAAGGTAGCCAGTTTGAATTGTACTGGCGAATGTTATGACCATGCAGCCATGTGGCATGCACTGTTACCATTCAGCTACCAAGGCGCTCCCTGCTGTAACCTCTCCCATTGCTAACAGGTGCAACATAAACAATCAGACAGCTGTCAATCAAAACTTTATTTTGATACATCTCTGAGCAGTGTTTACCTTTGAAATCTCTAAATCCACACTGCAATTGCTGCTAAAAAACTGGGTCATATCCATTCCATGCAGAAGTATTTGCCAACTTCCTATTGGTCATATGCCTGTTGGTGTGTGTCAACATGTTATAACCTCTTGGTTCCTCTTTGTTTTATGAATTTGAGCGTTTATCTTGGCATGAAATTATTTTGCAGTTGTCGTAACTCAAGATTCAAACTGTAATTTCTGTTTGAGCAAACTTCGAGCTAATCATGTAGCAATGAAGCAAGCAGGCTTGTTGAATATTTGTAACTGAACACAACACATCCTCAAATCTGACATTTTCATCAATGTGTTACTTACAGTAGTGGCTGGCTGCAGCTGAAAACCTACAAGCAATCACATCTCTGATTCTGGCTGTGCAATCAGGTTGATTAGTCACGATGTGTAAAAGCTTCTGAGCATCCTATCACAGCCCAGACCTGCCTGCATTCACTCTGAAAAAGCTCATGGCACGACATCAGGTTTCCTCTGGCTCGGGCCATTCCAGTGTGTGTTTTTACATATTTTTGTAAAATTGGTATGTCCACACTGTTCTGTTCTGTATTTTATCACCTCAGTATTCTTAATGGTTGCCAGTGACAATAATCCGGTCTCATGAGAGGTACTGCTTGCTCTTGCTGGTGGGATGCATCACTCAGCCTCTCTGTTCTCTGTCTCTGGCAGAGAAACAAGAGCTCTGGCCAGGCTAGAAGGACAGATAAATGTGGTGATTTACTCACAAAGGAGCTTCAAACTGATTTTTTCCACCATGCCATGATGAGCCTGTGCAGGCCTGCAGTTTCAACAAGATTTGGAGTATTTTTG